GAACACAAGCAGGGGGAGTGGGAGAGGGAGAAGCAGGCTTCCTGCTGAGCAGGGAGCCCGATGTGGGGCTCGAACCCAGGACCCTGGGATCACGACCTGAGCCGAAGGCAGACGCTTAACGACTGAGCCATCCAGGCGCCCCTCGGAAGCTTTTTAAAAGAGACTCCATGGGGGGCATATGCTTGGTGCAGTCTGTTAGGTTAAGAGTTCCTTCCGCTCAGGTCAAGATCTTGTGGTCCTGAGATGGAACCCCGCACTGGGCTCAGGGCTGAGTGAGGAAGGAGTCTGCTTCAGATTCTCTCCTTCCCCTGCCCCCTCTGCTCCTCCCCCTGCTCACTTGCACCACATGTGTCCTCTCTCAAATAAATAAATAAATAAATAAATAAATAAATAAATAAATAAGGGGCACCAGTCGGTTAAGCGTCTGCCTTAAGCTCAGGTCATGATCCCAGAGTCCTGGGATCGAGCCCCACTTTGGGCTCCCTCTTCGGTGGGTGGGGATCTGCTTCTCCTTCTCCACCTCCCGCCCCCCCGCTTGTGCTCTCTCTCTGACAAATAAATAAAATCTTAAAGAAAAAAATGTGGTTTACAGTAGGAAATGTTGGACGCTGCTAAATCCCCAGCATGAGTAGAAGAGGTAGGAAATGTGGACTCTATGAAAAGGGGACGTATGTGAAGGGAAATATTTATGTTTGCTGACAGAAGCAGGGTATAAAATTGTTATTTACAGAGTATAACTGTGTAAACCATACAGAGAAAAAGATTGGAAGAAAATATACCAGAATGGTAATGAAGGTTTTATTTTGGGAGATTTTATTACTGATTCTTCGCCCCCCCTTTTCTTTATCTTTCTGTATTTTTCAAATTTCCTGTAATAAACATATATTTCCATTACGATAAAAAAAATAAACATTACTAAGAAGTTCATCTCGAAGCAGAATCTAAGAATATGGGTTTCTTTGACATTTTATCTTTCTTTGGCCTCTTACAGAAGCTCTTCTTGCCAGACCAGATGTAAAAGAAAACATTTTTCAAGTGTAGAGCAAGAAACACGATCATGCCATAAAACAAAGAGTACTTAATTAATTTTTCAACCCGTCTCTGATTGCCCTAGTCCTCAGAGAACATTCCGCCAGGCTATGAAGTGGTGTCTCTTCTGGAAGCCCTCAATGGGCCCCTCACCCCGTCCCCAGCGGTCCCAGCCCTCCACGTGCTTGGAGATGGCCATCTGTCAGGAATGCTGCCCTCCTACGGCAGCGATGGCCACCTGCCCCCTGGCAGGACACTCTCCCCGCTCGACCGCCTGTCTGACTGCAGCAGCCAAGGAATCAAGCTCAAAAAGAGTCTTTCCAAGTGAGTGGTTGGTGCTCAACCGTGTTGACCCTGGGGTCCCTGGTGATATGCTTTCACTCCATCTTTCCCCTCCTCAGTACTGGCTCATGTCCTGGGTCCCCAGGGCAGGGTAGACCCTTTGGGCTGTTCCCAGAGCTCTTCGTTTCACGGAAGACCTGGGGCTAACACTCATGCAGGTTATCCCACTCCTTAGGGGGCGGAAATAAGGTGGCATGTGGGTACTTAGGAGAATCCAGACAGGCACATCTTGTGTGTTTTTGGTAGGGGGACGGGGTATGGGGAAGAGGACATCCCTGGGGTCAGTGAGGCCCATGGGGAGCATAGTCTAAAGACTGAAGGACATTATGATCTGTACCTGTACCTCTTAGGCATTTAAACCCAACTAGGCACCAGCCATGAGAAGCTTTCTGTGGCAGAGTAAGGAGCATATTTTATAGATAAAAATAATTGAGACCCTAAAAATGTCAGTGGTTTTTTCCTGGTTCGGACACGAGTTATTGAAGGAGTTAAAGGTAAAGTGGAGATTTTCTGACACCCAGAAGGGCTCTCAGTCCCTCCAGAGGGCTCTTTCCCACCTCCATCCTCCTTCTTAAGACCTAGGATCCGCCCCTCCCCTCCCCTTCCCTCTGGGCCTTCTTCTTCCTGTGGAGTCTGGCTAACGGGAGTGCAGGCCAGTTCCATTCTTTACATGGACACTGGCTTCAGATGCTCCTCTCTCTGGACTTTTGCAGGTCTGTGTCCCAGAATTCTTCCGTGTTGCATGAAGAGGAAGATGAGCGTTCTTGCAGTGAGTCAGAGACCCCGCTCTCTCAGAGGCCTTCAGCCCAGCATCTGGAAGAGGTAATCTCGTTCTCCGTTTCTTGGACCTGCAGGTACTTTTGTCCCACCAGCCTCTCCAGGTCCATGCGCTTTCATTCGCTCCTCAGGCCAAGGTTTCCTTCCGTTCCTCCTTTCAACAATATATTGAGCCTGTGTTAGGTGCCAGGCGCCGTTCTGTACGCTGAGAACAGTAGCAGTAAGGAGACGACAAAAGTCCTCGCCTTTGGGGTGCTGATATTGGGGTTGTCTTGATATTGGGGTTGTCTTGATATTGGGGTTGGGATGGACACCAGGGCAGTAAAAACTGGCTGTGGATCAGTGTGTCAGATAGGGGAGAGAGGGAGCTCGAGGCTAGAGGAGGGGGTTGCTGTCTTTAAAGAATAGTCTGTGGACAGAGATGGAAGGAGGTGAGAGTGTGCCAACGTCTGAGGAAGGCGGGTTCCAGACATAGGGACAGTGGCTGCAGAGCCTGGCCGAGGTGCGCTGGGAGCCCAGTGTGGTGGGGTGCTGCCCGTGAGCCCCACGGGCTCTATTTAGCAGGCTTATGACACCTGCTCTTTGTACGGCAGTGAGCTAGGTGAACTGCAACAGGCGAAGTTGATAAAGCGGTCCCTGACCTTGGGTCCTCGGGGTCTAGTTGGGGACAGGACATGCACACAGTTTACAGCACTGTGTCTAGCACATAGTTGTTCAGTACATATTTGTCGGGTGGATGAATGATGCTTTTTCTTTGAAGATTTATTTATTTACTTGTGAGAGAGAGAGCACGCGCGCGCACATGCTCAAGTAGGGGGAGGAGCAGAGGGAGAGAATCTCTGCCGAGCGCAGAGCCTGACACGGCACCCATTCCGCAGCCCATGAGGTCATGACCTGAGCCAAAACCAAGAGTCAGATGCCCAACCGACTGAGCCACCCAGGCGCCCTCGAGTGAATGAGTCTTAACTATAGAGAATGAATGAACATGAACTATAGAGAGCTCCCCCAGAGCAGGGACAGTACGGTGCGGTGGCAGAGACATGAGAGATTATGTTAAGTGGAGAAGACCAGGGAGGTGTGCTGGAGGAGTAGCATGTAAGCTGGATCTTGGCGTTTTTTAGACTCGTAGAGAAAGGCAAGAGAAGCATTCTAGGTGGTGGGGCAGTCCATGCAAAGGCCCAGAGCCAAAGCTGGGGCGCTGAGCAGGCCAGGGGTATGGGAGAGCATGGCCCACGCAGTTGCAGACCGGGCTCCCAGAGAGCAGCTGAGCCCTCGGCAGGCCTCCCTGGCTCAGGCAGGACGGAGTGCCTGAAGTCCAATAAAAACAGAACTCCTTGGGGCGCCTGGCCGCCTCAGTTGGTGCAGCTAGCGACGCCTGATCTCAGGGTCATGAGTTCAAGCCCCACGTTGGGTGTGGAGCTTACTTTAAAAAAAAACAAAACCACAGAACTCGTGGAGAAAAGGGGGTGGGGACAGAACCCCCATCTGCCCGGGACGGGGTGAGGGTACTAGCGCAGGGGGCTGCTAGCTGGGTGTCCGGAGGGGGGTGGGAGGCAAACGGGGTGTTTGTGCGAGGATCGTAGAGCTGGAACTAACCCGATATCCAAGTGGGGCCGCGTCGCAGGCCGTGAGGCCTCTGCTGGTTTTGTGTTCTTCAGAAGGAAAGCAGTTTCTAGTCCTGGGAAACCCGGGGTGTTCCCATGTCACCTGAGCTCCAGCCTTTGTATGGCCCGAGCAGATGCTGAGCCTCCGGCAGGATGTGCTGACTGAAGTCGGCACCTCCCCTGGGAGGCAGCCCTTCCAGCCCAGGGCTGCGGGGAGAAACTGCCCCTGCTCCGCACAGAGCCTCCTGACACTGGGGCCCTCGGCCCTCCCGGTGCTCCCTCCTTCCCCGGGCCCCTGGCCCTCACACCCTTCCTCCGTTCCCTCCAGGAATGTGGTGTAACCCCAGAAAGTGAGAATCTTACCCTGTCATCCTCGGGAGCTATCGACCAGTCATCTTGCACGGGGACGCCTCTCTCTTCCACGATCTCCTCCCCAGAAGGTACACGAGGGAGCGGGAGCGATTTCACGTTGTTCTGCTCGGCCCAGTCCTCGGCGCTCCCGACAGCCCCTCCAGAGGGACTCGGGCCGGCAGGTTGATACCTAAGCTGCGTGAAAACCAGGCCCCTCTCAGAGGCCGGGGGGTCCTGCTGCCGACTGCGGGGAGGGCTCATCTCACCCCCGGCCCTGCTGTCATGGGCTCCTTGAACGCTGACTCAGGGACAAGCAGATCCTTGCTCCCTGGGTTGGGTTCTGAGCTCTAAAATGTGAAGGAGCAGAACCTCGGAAGACCTGAAACCTAAACCTTTGTCGATGAGGCTGTGACGAGGCCACTGTCGTCCCCGCTGCGTGAGCACAGGGAGGCCGCTCTGCTCCTCGGTTTGCTCCCAGAAGCCATGCCTGACCTCCCATCTCCTTCCTTCCTCCCCTGGCTCCGCAGACCCTGCCAGCAGCAGTCTGGCCCAGTCAGTCATGTCCATGGTGTCCTCCCAGAGCCAGCACTCCCAGATCAGCACCGACACGCTCTCCTCCATGTCCGGCTCCTACATTGCCCCTGGCACTGAGGAAGAGGCGCTCCCCTCGCCGCGGGCCGCCAGCAGGGCCCCCTCAGAAGGAGAGGTAGGGGAGGGATGAGGGGGCATTGTCTCTGCTGCTCTGTGCTCTGCACACGCGTCCAGAGTAGCTCAACCCAGGGCCTGCCAGGGATCCCTGCCAGGTCGCCCGCTGTGCTGGGAAGGAGTGCCATGGAAAACAAGGTGGGGCCGTTGAGTCAAAGCCTCCCTCACGCCTGACTCCTCCGTCTGGTGCCACGTCTGTCCCAAGGACCTGGTTTGGGTTTGCCGGCGGGCCGGGTGGGAGAGCAGTGGTGTCCGGGCCTTGATTTCTGCTGCTCTTTGGCAGGTGATGCCCACACGGTCTGCAGACAGCAGCTTCATGGGCCTGGCCGCCGAAGAGCAGGACGCAGAGGTACCACGGTAGCGGGTGGCAGGGCTCCCTCCCCTCAGAGGGACTGTTGGCGCTGGCGGGGGGGTGCGATGGGACGGGGGCTGTTCTGGAAGAAGCCTTCCGAGGGGGCGTGTTTGGCTCAGTTAGGGGTGGGGTGTGGGGTAGAGGGAAGAGTGGCTGTGCGTGCTGGTCAGCGGACTGTCCCTTAGCACAGCACAATGGTCGCGTGTAACAGGCGTCCTGGAGGGAGTCCTAGAGGGAACTCTTCCCGGCCAGACCCTAGACCTGAGGATGTGGTCGTCCTTCGTTCACTTAGGATTTACACAGAATGACTGCGGTGCAGGAACTTCCTGGCACTGGGAGACATGAAGACCCCAGTGACCTGGTTTTAGCCTCCCCCTGTCCCCCCGCCCCGACTATATATCCTCATCCAGGGGCGCCTGGCTGGCTCAGTCAGAAGAGCATGCAACTCTTGATCTCAGGGTTGTAAGTTCGAGCCCCACGTTGGGTATAGAGATTACTAAAATATAAATAAACTGTTTACTCATCCAGGAGCCCCATGGCAGGTGGTGGGGACAGGATTAAGGTTCAGCATAGAATGCCCTGACGGAGGTGCTCAGGAAGTGCATGAAATGCCCAGGTCACAGTGAGGGCACTAGAACTTTTTCTTGAGCCAGATGCTCTCATGGGAGTATCTGGATAGGGTTTGGGATCCTAAGGAATTTCTGGAAGTTTTATGATCTTACTGTTTGCTTCTTCATTTGACAACGTTTATTTCCACCTTCAAGAGACAGTATGAGCTAAACTGTTACCAAGGCTAATCCTGACATTCCCTGGGTACGTCTGTAATGGGGCTCAGACCTAGTCCCTGTGGGCAGACCATGCCTCCCCAAGCAAAATCTGTCTCTGCCAGGCCTCCTAGGCTTCTCAGCCACGATGGGAAATGTGTGCTATTGACGAAGGCCCTGGAGTGAGATACGTTAGGCCAGTTACTTCTGTCTTCAGCCGATCAATATATTCACTTCACTGCTTTTATAGACTCATAGCACCTTCCTTCTGTCCTAGGGAAATGATGTTATAGAGGAAGAGGATGGATCGCCCACACAGGAAGATGGTAAAAGACCTGGTCTTTTGCTCCCTCTCATTAGATTCCTTTCCTGGGTGATCTTTAAAGGGTACAGAAAGGGGCACTGGTATGACTCGGTGGCTCCACTCAGTTGTGTGGCTGTTGGGGAAGGCTTGTCTTCCTGATGGAATAGCAGAGCAAGCAGAGTATTCGAGGACCACAGTGGTCTTCTTGGCTCTTTCAAGGCCTCAGCGCCAAGGACATCAGGACGAAGCTGCTGCAGAAGGCACACGGGGAGCTCTGTATCTGCGTGGACTAGGTTCTGAAGCTTCTTGGGCAGCCCCCGTCACCTTCCTTCCCGCTTCCACTTTTCGGCCGGGTCCACAGAGCTGCTCTGGCGGCTCTGATGTTTAGCAGCAGCAGTAAAACGGTTTCCTCCACTTGGGAGAAAGGCCTGTCAGGCAGTTGGCTTGGTTCTGCGTTAGCAAAGAAGATGGCTGATGTTTCGGTAGCAGAGAGACCTTAGGGGCCAGCGGGCACAGAGAAGGTGTGAGAAAGAGTCCGACACCTGCAGCTCAGCGTAGACAAGGATCTGTAGGCTGCTGTAATGACTCTCTTTACTGTAACTCAGGCCTCCATTATATCTTCAGATGGAAGTGTTTTGTGTCCAGGAAGGCTGGGAGAGAAGGAATGATCTCCAGAGCAAGGAAGTGGGAAGAGGAGGTGGGGGCGGGGAGAGTCCCCTGGGAATGGAATCGCCCCGGCTCCGGGAGCCAGCATCTCTGTCCTGTGCTGCTCTGAGGGGCCTCCCGCAGCAGGGCACCTCCACAGCACACCTGGACCCCAGCCTGGACGCAGATGTCATCCTCGTTGCTTCTGCTTTAGCGCTGGCCGTCGCTTGGGGAGTTGAGGGGTGTGCATGCTGGCCTGACCACTCCCGCCTGACCCAGTCGCCCCGAAGGAGGGCCTGGCCGCCAAGGCTGCGCCTCGGCCACACTTGCACGCCAACCCAAGACGGGGTCGGGCGCTTTTTCCACTTGGTTGATGCCTTCAGTCCTCGAGGTTCCCAAGTCTCACCCTCTGTGATCGCTTCCCCCCCATAGAATGTTCGCTTCTGAAAAATGCAGGGTGGCGGGTGGTTTCCGCCTGACATTCCAGAGCCCACACAATGGATTTATGTTTTTTCCTCTCCCTTTCATCAAGAGAAGACCGGAGGCGTGGGGGAAGCTAGGAAAAATAACATCTGAAACCTTCCCCTTCCCTTTACATGTCCGTAGGTTTGTGCTCAGACCCTTAAAACACACTCAGAATAACAAACTAAGTTTCATAGGAAAATAAAACATAATTTTGTGAAGGTGGTGATCCTGACTAATATGCAAAATTATGGAACCTGAGACCTTTAGTTTTTGTTTTATGTATTTATCATTTTACAGAGCCTTGCGGTCATAAACACCCGACGGGCCCCGACAGACGCAGGCAGGAGCAGGGGCAGCCTCTCTCCACGCCCCCTGTGCGGCTCTCTGTGGAGCCCACGTCCCGCAGCCCTCCAGTGGTCTCCCCCACCTGCTGGGAAGGGGCCAGTTCAGGAGACAGGGCAGGACAGGGCAAAAACACAGACAGGCCCACGCAGTTTGATTCCTTTATTGTCCACTCTTTACCCACTTAATTACTGTCTTTTTTTTAACATATGATTTGATTTTTTTGTCTCCATCCTTAAGATTTTTTTTTTTTTTTTAAGGACAGCAAAGCAGAGAACAAATACAGCCAGCCCCTCTCTAACTGCGTTAACTCCGTTACAGGCCAGAGGACATGCGCATTTCTAGGTATGGAGTGTGACAATAACAATGACTTTGGCATCGCCAGCGTGAAAGCACTGGACAATAAGCTGTGCCCTGAGGTCTGCTTACCCGGTGAGTGGCAGTCTGCTGAACATGAACTTGGTGGGAGACGCTCCCCTGCTCGCACCCCTGCTCTCACCCTGGGACACCCACCTCCTGCCCTGCCCTTCCTGCAAGAAGGCCTGGGCTGTGCTAGGACGCTGGAAGCCAGATGCTGGAAGGAAGTGAGGAGGCCTCGGGAGAGTCCTTGAACTTTGTGCAGCCAGCAAACCCTGCTCTGAGCAAGACTGTTAGGACAGGAAGACAGGAGTAAAACCCCCTCTCCTTCCGAATTGGCCTGACTTCGCCGCCCTCCACCCCGATCCTGGGGGGCGTGTCCCATGGCAGGTGGCCTGGTCTTGTTTTCATCAACAGGAAGTTTGAGGCAGACCCTGCCTCTCTGAGAAGGTCTTAGAAAGATAGCCTGAGTCCTTGAAAAGGGGATCCGATCCCTAGCTCCTCGGAAGGAATTTGTTTAGTTAGGAGCAGGGAGGAATTTGAAAGCCAACGTGGTTTCGATTAGCACATGGCTCTCTGAGCCAGTGAGCTTTGGGTTACCAGTCGCATTGTACTTACTATACTTGGAGGTCAGGGGTCGAGGATGACTATGCTCCCTGGAGCCCTAACTTTAAATTTGGTCAGGACTATCGACATGCCCCTTGTCCCTTCTCCTGATACTAAGCTGAACCTGGGATAACTTCTTACGCAGGAACCATGCTAATCACACTGTGAGCACTCACCTCCTTCTAGTCTATGTGCTCGTTCAAGGGCTCCATGAACTGCTTCTCTGAAGCCAAGTCTTGCCCGGGTGGACTAGGTCAAAACCGCCCTCACAGCAGAGATTGTCCTCCACGTTGTGGTGTCTGTAATCCCTTCAAGATCCCCTGAAATGAAGACTTATTTGAACTCAGAACAGCCACGTCACATCGTGGGTCCAGTGCTTTACTCGCTCAGCGAAGCGGCTAGAGGCTTTGGAGCGGTGCAGGCGGCCACCCTCCATCAGCCTGTGAGAGACACCAGGCCTCTCACGCCTGGCCCCACACAGGCTGGTGGCCCGGAAGCCGTGATTCCCAGAAGATGCTTTCTCCAGCCTTTCAAAGGCCTCTCTCCGGTTGTTTTCTATTTAGTGTGTCCTGAAGATACTGCCCAGGACTCTTGACGTTCAGTGAGGCCAAAAGATGCCATGTCAGTCCTCCTGCTTCTCCCGCCTGCTGGTGGAGGAGGGAGCGTGGACCCAGTCGGGCCTGGACTGGAGCTGTGGGGCCCGGGCACACGTCACTTCCTGCCTTCCCACTCCTCACCTCGCTTCCGTCTGTCCATTTGTTTTTCACGTCTTTTTGCCAAACGTAAATCTGTCTGTCTGGTTTGTTTCTTTTGAAGCTCATTTCTGTTACGTAGACTTCGTGTGGAAGTTCATGTTCACTGCGCCAGCGCTGTACCCTCCCGCCCCCCCGCCCCCGGCCACGCTGTGTCCGACACCACGCTTGCTGGGCGTGTGCACATCCCAGAGGCTCCTGCTTACGTCTCCAGTCCTAACTGGCAAGGGCCTGCATTCATTCGATAGATTCTCTGAGAAAAAATATTTGCAAAGATAAATTAATCCCTGCTCCACAAAACATGGGGATGCTTCTGCGGCAAGCATTACGAGAAGGATTTGAATTGGCATCCCGTGTCACTAGGCGGGACAGATGACATCTCTGTCCTCTGCCCTGTGTCTGTGGCCGCTCTCTAGCAGCCATCCTTTGGCTAGGCTCCTGCCTCCCTCGAGGGGTGCCCCCACCCACCCCCGTTTTTTGGCAGAGGGAGCTGCCGGGAACTGTTTTAGGCCATGCTGGTGGAAACGGAGCTTGTTCTTTCTGCTTCCTCCTGCCCCTGACCCCCTCTGGCCAACCTGCTTGTTGATATTTATTCCACTTACGGGATTGCTTATGGGAAGAGGAAAGGACCCCGGGGTCCCTTATGGTGCTCTCAAGAGCCAGCGGGCTGAGACGAGACTAGGTTCACAGTTCAGGCCAGTCGTGCAACCAAATGCCTGTGACGCCTGTTGGGAGAGCAACTCAGGTAGAAGCACTTGAGGTGTCCCCTTGTCCCCTCCCCAGAGGTCACAAGGGCTCTTAGGGGAGAGGGAAACATGTCTGCTTTCTTGGTAAAATGTTTCTCTGGTTCTGCTGTTAGCATCACACTGGTAGCAGTGGGATGGGGACCTCTCGGGAAGCATCTGTTGGGTTAATAACAGGAGTATCCACTGCGGTAGGTCCCGTGGAATAAATAGGCCTCCTCATGCTCAGCTCTTAAGTTCACACTTCCATCCTGTGACTGAGACGCCCGCGGGCTGGCTTGGCTCCATGTTCTGCAGCCGTCAGGACACCTTCTCAGGCACTCGGTCTCTGCTTGAGTCTGTTTCCCTCTCCAAGTGGCACCGCTCCCTTTATGGAGGGCTGAGTTTCTAGAAGCAGAGCCGCGGGGAGCCTCCCATGCTCTCCCCTGCACCACATGCTGTCCTCCCCATGCTCACGCACGCTCTGCCGGGAGACCCAGCTGATGATGAAAACCACGCGGATCCCCATCCTCACCACTCTCATCGCACTCATGGGGGTGCCCCTGGGAGGGCGCCCGTGTCCCACCAGCCCTTCTTCCCCTAAGAAGCTTCTGAGCCTTCTTGGGCCCCAAGACCAAGGGGGTGGCGTGTTCTGAGATTGTTCTCAAAGGTCTCAAAGGACGGAAGTCGAAGTTGACAGGTGCAGGTGGTGAGCAGGTTAGAATTGTGAAGCCAGGCTAAGTAGATGTGGTTCCAAGGAATCGGATGGAGTAGCACACAAGCAGCAGCAGGGGCCAGGGCACCAGTGATGAGTCTGTGAACAGATTCTGGGTAGTGTATGTGATGGAGAAAATAAAGCAAGACTCATTTGGGTTTGTTGGTGGAAATAGAAATATATTTTTAAATGACCTCATTGTGCAGGAGTGGACGTACCCAGTGAAACGGAGCAATACCTACAGAAACCTGAAATTCAGGTCACTCCTCTCTTCAAGCCTCACAACCTGAGAGGGAGGTGCTGCTAGGAAAGTTTACACTTCATAGACACGAAGGGAAAATCTGAATTCGGTTTCTCTTTCCACTGGAAACTCTTTGAGACAATCACACTATTCTCGCGCTTACATCTAATCAGTGGCTTGGTAGAGGCAGGAAAGGACTGTGCGGAATTCCCCTAAATATGCTCCCCAAATCTACCTCTAGAGGTCTCTCTGCTCGCCCATTTCTCCTCCTCTAGATGGGACTTGCAGGGAAGGCACCTTGATCTACCTCCACGGAGGATTTCAGTCACCAAGCTCCAGTGTCTGGCTGGAGGGCTGCACGGGGCCGCAGGAGAGCCCTAGCAGGGTTTTGCTGAGGGCCCACCACATCCCGTGCAGGGGGGAGGGCACCTCGTTATCGCTGCTCAACCTCCGCCTCGCCGCCGAGTGGATCAAGAAGCCCGGGAGAACAGATGCTGGAGCTCTAGTCTTGAGGCTATTCCAGAAGGAACGGTTTTCAGCCCTGGCTAAGGCTCCTAGAGTGGTGGAGTTGGTGGCAAGCACTCCTGTGAATTCAGAGTCAGGACAGCCTGTCGGTCCGGCGTCCCGTGGCGAGCTGGTTGGTGGCGGCGGCGTGGATTGTAATGTGTGCGTGTGTGTCTTCTCTCTTGTTCACCGTTTGCTTTTGGTCTCTCCCACTAAACAGCCGCCGTTCCGGAGTCCTGCCCCATAAACATTGAGGACTAGGTATGACATCTACCAAATTCTATAAGTGAACGAACAGCTCATTGCGTTTTGGGGGTTCCTAACCTAAAGGGCAATCTTGCCTTCTCTTTGTCCTGTCACACTTGAGCACCATCCTTAGAGGAGAAAGCACTTTTGACCCATGTCCCAGACTCCAGGGAAGAGAAATCTCCAAATTCCATCTGGGTGTGAGAGATACCTACGAATTTTCTGTTTCGCCCACTTCTCTTCCTGGGGGCCCACCTCCACAGACTATTAGAGCCTTAGGATGGATTATCACACCAGGACCCTTACGGTAAATAAGCAGTTTATACCTACTTAATCCTAGTGTTCAGACCATTAGAGGGGCTTGGGCTGGCCCTAGTGTGAGGCTGACCCCAGACGTTGGAGAGCAGCCCCCTCAAACACGAGCACAGTGAGCCTCGGGCCCTCCCTGTGCACCCGAGCAGCCGGGTCTGTCCCCTGCAGGAGTCCTCTGAGGGGCCAGGCCTGCCCCGGAGGAGGGCAGGGGTTCCCGATTCCCTCGCACTGTGAGATGCGCACTGTGGCGGTGCGACAGGTTGGGGGGCACCGTGGAGCAAGCGTGCCTCACCGGGCTGGGGGTCCTCATGAAGGCGGGCCGCGCAGAGGTGCAGCTCCGGAGGGCTGCGGGGAAGGCCGCAGGGAGGGCCGGGGGACCCCATGGAGTTAGGTCTTCACCCGGAGCCTCTGTCTCTTGGGGGGGTGGTTCGCGCTGCACTGGATTGGATGAGCCTGTCTGGGCCAGGAAGACAGTTGAGGGGAGATCCTGGGAGAGATGAGGGTGGCCTGATAAGGGTGGGGGCTGCTTGTTGAGCACACCCTATGAGTCAGTCCTGTGAGGAGAGCACTCAGCCCCCATTTGATGGGTGGGAGAACCAAGGCTCCCAGTGAAGTGAGCTGCCCAGGAGCATGCAGCCAGGCAGTCAGGACCCAGGAGTGAAGCCCAGGTTTTCTGACCACAGGCGAACAAACAGGAGGCAGGGATGGATTAAATCCAGAGCACCAAGGACAGGGGAGCCAAAATGGGCTTCCGGCCCCAGCAGCCGGTTCTGATCGTGCAGGAGTGGCGACGGATTTGGGGGAGGATGAGAAGTTTAGTGCGTGCTGCCTGGGGGATCCCAGAGCTCTCGGGCTGGTGTCTCCCGGGGTTGACGGTGACCTCAGCAGGCTGCTAGGGGCAGGAGGGGATGAACAGCCCCAGGTGTGCAAGAGGGGTGCTGCAGACATCACATCGGCTCCCCACCCCCATGCCCTTCTGTCCCTGGCACCCTGCTGGGCTACTAGCCCCCACAGCAAACACTGACACCAGACCCACATTAACACGCTCTTCTCGCTCGTCCACTGCTTCCTGCCCTGGCGAAACCTCAGCTACACCTGGTTTCTTTGTCCTGTCCACCATAACATACAGGCAAACTTAAAGACACGGAAGTGGATTGCAGGGCAAGTTCACAGAACAAGAGCTACCCTGCATGTTCCTCTCCGTCCATAGTCTCCACAGTGGCCATGACTGTACTTAGCCCGCTAGGACAGGAGCAGTCCCCTGCCCCCAAGGCGCCCACCGCGCCCAGTTCTCTCTCCCTCGCTGTGGCCCGTGCACACGCACGGGAGTTTCAGATAACATGCACCCTGCTAGACTCCGTGCCGAACTCCTGGGCTGTCCCGCTGGAGAGGCCGTCTGGACCCGGCCAGAGATCGGCTTCTATACCCTTCCTTCTCTCCACTCCAGGCACCTGGCAGGCCGATGACAACGTTGTCAGTCGTCGGAACGCACAGCGCCGGCGCTTATCATCCGGCAGCCTGGAGGACCCCGAGGACAGGCCCTGTGTGTGGGGTCCTTTGGCCGTCTGAGAGCCCCAGCCCGTGCACCTGGGCTCCCTCCTGCCCCCACCTTCCATCCTGGCCTCACGGGACTGCTGGTCTCCTGGGCGTCCTCAGTGAGACCATGAAGACTGCATCCAGATGAAAGCTGGACGTGGAAGCCACCTGCTCCTGCTCCCAGCCCGGTCTCCTCCATAACCATGACCCTTCCCCTACCAGCAGGAACTCGAAGCCTCCTCTCTCCTTGTGGGCTGGAGCCTCTCAATGAACTGCTGCTCATGGGACCCTTTGCAGAGACTCTCTGGAATGTATCCACCCTATCTTGATCTTCAGGTGGAGCCGAGATCCACAGGCTGGTTGTTTCTCATCTTTTTCTCCTTAGGGGGCGTACCAAGAGGACCTGGAGTTTTGGCAGTTTCATTACAAACACCCATCTGGCATTTTCTTGTCTCTGGAACATCATAAGCAATTTGAACCCTCCACTTTGGGGTGGGGTTGGGGGATGGCTCCTGTGAGAAGGGAAAGCCATTTTGCACTCTAAGCCAAGTTTCCCTCAAAAAGCATTAGGAGCTCCTTTCTCAAGGATGAGAAACGGTGGCAACCAAAAAGTTGGTTGAAGAAAACAGTTCTTGCTTCTGGTCACAGAGCTAGTGTCCTGGGCCTCATGTGTCTGTCTGCTTAGGAAGGAGGCCTTGGATCTGAGAATCCCCTAGTTACATGATTACCCTTAAGAAGGTTATTCATGGTCAGGTGCATTCATGAAGGCCTGGGACGCCATCCTAAGGTGACTTTTCAAAAAACACATTTTTGGCCACTTCTGTCTGCCAGGCACTGTGTTGTTAGCTGTCCTATATTCTCACATTTCATCACTGCACCCCGTCAGGTGGCATTCTTAACACCTATCATCCCTGTCTCCACCCCTTCTTGTGAATAGTTGAAGAAATAGGCAGAGAGAGGGGGTTGAGCAGTGATTCTCAAGTTGGAGCCCAGGAGTCCCAAAGGAGGAGGAGCACGCTGCCGAGCTGGGGCTAGCGGTGATGGGGGAGCCTCCCCACCCCACGGGTTTCCCTCCCCTGCCTTCCAGATCTGCTGAGCCTGGCGGGTGGGGGGATGGGGAGGTACTCCTTCCCCAGGCTCTTTAGAGATTCAGAGATACTGTTCAAATCCTGTGCCCCCCAGCCCTCCTCAGCCCCGTGTAAGGCAAGTAGACAAAAGTCTGAAACAGCGAGGAGTTACTCCTCCTCTCTCAACACTGGTGTTGCCAGTGGGTTCCACCTAGTTCTTGGACAGATGTGTTGTCCACTGGCTTTGGGGAAAGGTGGTCTTTTAGTGGAGCATGAAATAGGGAAGCAAGGTCACATACGGCCATTTGTGAGGCTGAGATGCCGTGGAGCCTTAAGCTCTGCCCATCATGATGGCCTGTCTTCATATTTGGAATCGTTACCTGAAAGAGTTTTTTCAGGGCCATTCCCAACACCCCAAAGAGAGCCCGGTGCCCAGGGAATCCTTCGCACCTTCTGTGTAGCTTCTTTGCACTGTCAGGCCTTGTGGTTATGGCTTAGGTCCTGCCCTGGTTGGGGGAAGGCCTGTTGTCCTGACAGACGTGACATGAACCAAGCCTGCATCGAAGCTTCTGTCCTGAGTCCCCATGTCCCCCTCTCCGAGGGCCTGCCATGGACTCTGCTGCTTCAGGCCCCACTCCTTGTCCTTTCTTTCCCCCAATATTCTTACAGCCCCTTGTGTGTTTGACATTGGAGCAATAACCCCACTTCCTGATGTCCTTGAAGTTTAAGCCCCAGGGAATGGGGAGCTTCCCTTAGCCTGGGGTGGTGGCACACAGCCTCGTATTCACAGTGTGGCGTTACCCGAGATGAAAGAGATGCAGGTAAACAGTAGCCACAGTGGCCAGGAACCCTGAGGGGAAACCATTATCACCCTCTTCTGAGGAGGACCAGCCTGTGTCCTTCCTGAAGCACATGCTGGGTCCTCCCCCCAGCAAGAGGCTCAACAAAGATTCTTCAAGGCCTTGGTTCCATAATCAAGACATGCCTGGGTTAGAAATGGCCCTTTCACCCCTGTTTCTCAGACCGAGCTTTCCATCTTTCTCTCTCTCTCTTCCCCTCCCCCTCTCCCCTCTTTGTTCTTATTTGGCTCTTAGGCAAGCAGAAATACCCCATCCAAAGGAGCTGCTCTTTAGTCAGCCTGATCAGGGAACAGGGCAGCTGCCAACCCTACTGCCCCAGTCCATCATCTGGAGACAGTCATGTTCTGAGCAATTGACCCAGAGAGAACGGGAGGGGGCCTGGCTCTTCACTTGAGGGCACAGACTGTCTGGAGGCCTGTGGCTTCTCCCGCCAACTCCCGCCAGAGGTCTGAGCTCTCCCGTGGCCTCCAGGTGGTGTGGTGATCCAGAGCCTTTTTCCCTTCCTCACCCAGTTCCACACACCAGAGTTTATGCCCACATAAACTCTGGGGCATCTCCTGGGCACAGACCCACACACTTTGAGCCGTCTCACCTGGGGAGAGTTCGTGTCCTGCCCGCCTGATCTTGGCATGCTGGTTGATCACTTCGCTTTAGGACCTGCACACCTGGTGTGTGCACGTGTGTGTGTGTGTGTGGACTGTTGGTACCATCCGTGTACCCCCTCCCACTCGTGGGTACACTCATGGGCACACTACAGTGGGGACGTCAAGGATGCAATATTTATGGATTGCTGCATGATTCTTAAAAACGAATAAAACTGTTTACAAGGGAAGGAGAGCTGTTAATTGTGCCCTTGGCTTATTTGTGAAAATCTCTGACTTTGTCCAGTGCTCAAATATTTTTATTCAAGAGAATCTAGAAGTGGAGGAGTGGGAGAGGGCATGGGGTAGGGAAAGACATGCTCCGGGGTAGGAGGTGGACACTGACGTGCCACCCTGTGGGCACAGGCTTCCCACCCCTGCCCTCCTGCTTCTGGGCAGAGGCCTGAGTGAGGAGCCCGCACCCCACCCTCACCCTTAAACCGGAGAACTTCCACCACTGCAGCTCCTCAATAATTGGAGAGCAGGAAAGCTGGTGGGAGGAGGGAGGCCAGGGGAAGGGACGAGGAAGCCCCTGGTGTCCCCCCACCCCTAGTCCCTGCCACTTAAAAGTTGGTGACACTAACGAGGCAAATGACCCTGCGAGGAGAATTCAGCGAGTCGTGGCTTCTCTTGAGTTTCACTCACCGGCTCCGTTTCCTCAGCTATCTGAAAAGGAGGGAGAGCCCCTCCGCAGAAGCCTCTGGAAAGTCAGCTTCCGGGAACCTTGCAGAGTACAGGGGAGGGGAGGGAGCCGCTTACCGGGAAACCCTACCCGCCGCGGGGCGTCTGGGATCGGTGCAGCCGGGACCTGAGCGGCAGGTGGCATCGGAGAGTCGGACCTGCCTGCGGGCACCGAGACGACGCTCAGGGTGGGGAGGGTGGGAGAGGGCACAGAAACGTGAGCCCAGAAGAGAGGAAAGGAAACCCTAAGCACACGGTGCCCGAGCCCGCTCCCAGCCTGGGCCCCCGCGGAGCCGCCAACGCCCCGGAGCAGCCGGGACCGGAAGGGAGCGAGGGCAGGAGAGCGGCGGCCGGGGCGAACGGCTCCCCGGCGTGCCCGGGGCCTCGGGCGGGACCGAGCGCTTCTCCGAGCCCTGCGCGGGGCCCTCGAGCGGGAATGCGCGGAGCGGGGACGCGGTGGCGGGTAGGGGGCTGGGTGGCGCGGGAGAGGGCGGCAGAAGGAGGGAGTTCCAGGAGAGTTACCGCCAGAGAGAGTGGCTAGGGCCCGCGGTCTCCTTGGAAACGTGCTGACCAATAGCAGCAGCGGAAGCTGTTTATGGGGGCGGGGCGTCGCCATGGCAGCAGAAGAAGCCTTTGCAGCGGCTACTTAATGCCGGTCCGGGGGCCACCGGCGCTCAGAGAGGCGCCGTCGGGCGGGGGGGCGACAAGAAGCGCTGGCGGGGCCCTCGAGCTGGGGACAGAGAGCCGCAGGGGGTGGGAGGAACTTCTTCCAGAACCTTCTTTTGGCCCGGGCTGCTCTCTGAGCCAGGTAAGGGACTGAGACGGCTGTGGCCGCGGGAAGGGAGGGTGTCGGTACCAGCCCGCTCTCCCATCCGTCCTCGACGGAAGTGGTGGACCCGGGAATGACATCTGAGTTTGGGGGACACTTACTTCTCGCCCCCCCATAACTCCTATCCTGTTTCCTTCCTTCCCCGTTATCCCCCATCCTAATATCTCTTTTCAAAGATCAGACGACCTCCCCGTCTCCCTCCCGGTGATACTGCCCTCCTGGGTTCCCTCGCCCCATTTCCACTTGTTGCGGTGTGTGGGGGGGTGATTTCCCGCTCTTGGGGAGAAGGTGATAGCCTCAGAGGCCCCTACCCTCCTTCCTCCTTTCGCTTCTAAAACCTTGGAGAGGAAAAGAGAGACGGACCCAGTGGGGGTCGGACCCCCGGGCACAGCTTCTGTTTCCCAGACCTCGGCCAGAAAAGATCCTCGCCAGCAGCGGGGACGATTTTAGAGGAGCCTCCCCCTCGCACACACTCTCCCCTCGGGGGCAAGGGGGAAGTGCTCAGCTCCCGCTGTGGTCCTCCCCAGCAGGTACCACATTCATATTCGGAGGAGGCGACCCCGTGGTCGCGGAATGGAAGCGCGCGTCCGGGAGGCCCTGTAACCGGAGCCGCGGGAGTCAGCGGGCTAGAGAGCGCTGCGGGCTACCCCCCGGCTCAGCCCGTGGATGTTGACCGCCCCCTCGGAGAGTCCCCGCAGACATGGCGGAGAGCTGGCTACGCCTCTCGGGTGCAGGGGCGGCGGAGGAGGCCGGGCCGGAGGGCGGCCTGGAGGAGCCCGACGCCCTGGATGACAGCCTGACCAGCCTGCAGTGGCTGCAGGAATTCTCCATTCTCAACGCCAAGGCCCCCGCCCTGCCGCCGGGGGGCACCGACCCCCACGGCTACCACCAGGTGCCGGGCTCGGCCGCTCCGGGGTCCCCCCTGGCGGCCGATCCCGCCTGCCTGGGGCAGCCGCACACTCCGGGTAAGCCCACGTCGTCGTGCACGTCGCGGAGCGCGCCCCCGGGGTTGCAGGCCCCGCCCCCCGACGACGTGGACTACGCCACCAACCCGAATGTGAAGCCGCCTTACTCTTACGCCACGCTCATCTGCATGGCCATGCAGGCCAGCAAGGCCACCAAGATCACCCTGTCCGCCATCTACAAGTGGATCACGGACAACTTCTGCTACTTCCGCCACGCTGATCCCACCTGGCAGGTAGGGGAGGCGCTCCCTCCCCGCCCTCCTTCTCCCTCCCCACGCCAGGGCAGACTGGACTAAGGTCCCCAGGTCCGCAAGCCAAGTAGGCTCGGTGCAGCCAGGGCCCCAGGGGAGGAAGGCCATCGAGGAAGGACCTCAAGGGAGCCTAGTGCTTGGAACTGCCCCTCCTTTGACTTCAGAGAGGGAGGAGGGAGGATGTTTAAAGGGCTTTAGAAAGGGGGCAGACCCCGAAATTCCTGGGGAAAGCACCTGTCACTCATCCAGTAGACCCAGCTCAGAGACCAGGGTCAGACTGTGTGTGGACATGGTCCCCTAAGAGAGGATGATGGACTAAGGGACACATTTTTGTCCCAAGTCCTAGAATTCCTAGACACGGCCCTGCCAAAGGACACTTGTCAAGGCCAGACTCAGAATCGGATGCTGGAGCATCGCCCCTGCCAGGCTCTGCATCCTGTGTTGTTTCAGTTGGCTGGGGGAGGGCAATGGGGTGTGAAGACCAGCTGTGTCCCACCCAGTAGGGCTATGGGGTCTTCCTAAAGTAAAGCTGCTGCCCCAGCCCCTCACCCCAACTCCTCCCCCGTTTCCTGCCTGCTGTCCTCCCCTCTCTTCTCAGTCAGCCTCCCTGGGGGGACAATTACCTGAGCCAGGTGCTTTCCACAGGGGCTCTCCCTGCCGCACTGGCTTCGCGTTCCAAGTCTCCGGAACCTGGCACAGAGCAGCCAAGGGGCCCAAGCCTCCATGTAAACATCCCAGCCTTTCCAGGGGGCACGACCCACCCACCCACCCTGCCTTCTGGGCCCTAAACCCCTATCCCCCAGCATGGTTTGGACAAGACAATGCACCTAGGAATGAACAAGGCAGGATGGTGATTTGAGGCCAGGCAGACACGAGTCTGCCATCATCAGGATCAGGGGCTACTTAGGGACAGAGGCCCCAGAACGTCCAGACTTTTCCCTGGGGATACCCACAGGGAGCAGGCTGGAGAAGCACAGTCCCAAACTCCTCCACATTTGCGTGGGCCCTGACTCTGGGGCAAGTGCCATTTGTACCCTCAGTGAGAAAGCAGAGAGACCCCCAGCCCCCACCCTCCCCAAAACCTGTGAAGCTCAGGCTGCAGGAAATGGGCCTCAGGAATGAGCCCTGTGCTCTAGGCTGGGTAATAATCAACTGAGGCCTCCATAGCCTGGGTGGGAGGAGGGGGCCATGGGGGTGAGGGCCCAGGCCAGCAGCCGGCTCAACAAACAAGCAAAGTCCTCAGATCCCCCCACACTTCATCCCTACGCGCTCAGAGCACACACCCTCACACCCTGGCTAGCCCGGCTCCCCCCACCCCTGCCTCCACCCACCCACTCCACAAACAGAGAGGGCCAGCCAGGCCCAGGCGAAGTGAGATGGCTGTCCAGGCCCTGGGGGAGCTGAGGCCTTTGGCCCGAGGCCGCAAGCGGTGGGGTAAGGGAGGGAGGGCAGGCCGGGGTGGCACTGCGAGCCACCCTGCGGCTCAGGGCTCGGATGACTGAGCAGGCACATATCCCAGCAACGGGGAACAAAAGCTCCCGACAGCACTCCTGGCTCCCGGTGCCCAGTGGCTGGTGTCCCAGAGCCACTGGTCAGAGCAGTGCGGCCGTCCCTCCTCCCGTGTGGGCAGGAGCTCTCGTTGCCGCCCATCGCTGGCCCTTCCCACTCACCCAGCCCACCTCTTTCTCTCCTCTCCCCCATGCCCAGAATTCCATCCGCCACAACCTGTCCCTGAACAAGTGCTTCATCAAAGTGCCTCGGGAGAAGGACGAGCCGGGCAAGGGGGGCTTCTGGCGCATCGACCCCCAGTACGCCGAGCGGCTGCTGAGCGGGGCCTTCAAGAAGCGGCGGCTGCCCCCAGTGCACATCCACCCGGCCTTCGCCCGCCAGGCCTCGCAGGAGCCCAGCGCCGCCCCGTGGGCCGGGCCGCTGACCGTGAACACCGAGGCCCAGCAGCTGCTGCGGGAGTTCGAGGAGGCCACCGGGGAGGCGGGCTGGGCTGCGGGCGAGGGCAGGCTCGGCCATAAGCGCAAACAGCCGCTGCCCAAACGGGTGGCCAAGGTCCCGCGGGCCCCCAGCACCCTGCTGCTGACCCAGGAGGAGCAGGGTGAGCTGGAGCCCCTCAAAGGCAACTTTGACTGGGAGGCCATCTTCGAGGCCGGCACTCTGGGCGGCGAGCTGGGCGCGCTGGAGGCCCTGGAGCTGAGCCCGCCGCTGAGCCCCGCCTCGCACGGGGACGTGGACCTCACCGTCCACGGCCACCACATCGGCTGCCCCGCTACCTGGGGGCCTCCGGGGGAGCAGGCTGCCGACAGCCTGGACTTCGACGAGACCTTCCTGGCCACGTCCTTCCTGCAGCACCCCTGGGACGAGAGCGGCAGTGGCTGCCTGCCCCCGGAGCCCCTCTTCGAGGCCGGGGACGCCACCCTGGCCGCCGACCTGCAGGACTGGGCCAGTGTGGGCGCCTTCTTGTAAGAGGCCGGGCCCTGCCCCACCTCCGGACAGTGGCCAAGTCAGGGCCCAGACTGCCCCCCAGCACAGGCCCCTGGACATCCTACCGCCCAGGCAGGGGCTGGGCCGGGTCTCCCGAGGCTGGCCCCATGAGGCCGCACGGCCCCCAGCCCGGGCTGCCCTCAGATTCCGGCCCAGGAGGCTGAGAAGGGGGCGGGGGGGGGGCCCAGGTCCAGAACTGCTGCCTCCCCAGCACCGCCCCCCCCCCATACACACAGTGTTTCATTGATCCTCCTCTTGCCAGCCCCGGGACGGGCTCAGGGCCCTGCACTGTGGGAGCTGCACCCGGAGGGGCCCTGGCCAAGCTGGGGAGGGACAGTACAGGGCCCGCCCCAGGGCACCTCAGCTTCCACGCCTCTCCCTCTCCCGCTGTCCTCCCCAGGTCTCTAGCCAGAGAAAGGTCCCAGGTACAACAAATGCTAATTAGGTGAGAGCAAATTAACCCCCTGGAGGCCTCTCTGGGCAAAGCCTCCCTGGAGCTGGGGAAGGGTGGGGGAGGGGTGGGGCTGGGGGGGAGGGGCAGAGGGCAGAGACAGAATGAGGTCGGGGAGCCTGGTGGGCGAGGAGGTTTTGTAAGGCCTCTGGGGTCTTCTCCTGGCCCCATCCCTAGGGGTGGAAAGGGAGTGTAAATCCCTCATCTTTCAGCTGGACCTGAGGCAGAGCGCGGCGGGGAGTTGGGGTTCTGGGGGTTGGGGGCAGGGGCATCTGAGCTGCAGTGGGGAGGAGGACAGACAGACTAATGTAGTGAGTATAGCGATAGGCTTAACAGGGAGAGGTGCAGAGCTTGCTAGAACCTTTGGGACCAGGAAGGCTGGGATCGCCCACATCCCTGCCTGTACTTGCTGGGGGGCAATGTCTAACTCTACCCGGAGCCCCTCCGTCTGCGTCCCACATCCACCCTCCTGCCCTATGGGGCAATTTAACCTTTTTCATGGAAAGTTATTTACAATTTAAAAATTTTTAAAAATAAAATGTTTAAAAATCTGAAAATGGACCTGCTTGCAACTTTAGGGCCAGTTTGGGAGGAGGGGGTCTTTCTCTTCACCGCCGGAGGGGGAATGGCTGGGAGGAAGATGGGGAGCACCGAAGGCCTCAAGAGTGTCCCGTGATGAACTCCCCATGACTTTGGTGTCCCCAGGGAGAAAGGGGCTGAAAGGCAGCCCCCAGGGGTCCCCTCCAGCCTGGGGCTGCACAATGGGGAGAATGGCACCCTCAGCCCCGGGAAGTGGGCGACAAAGAAGACACAGCCCCCTCCCTGGTCCTGGGGACTCACAGGGGCCGAGCGCGCCCAGGGCTCAGCCCACGTGTCTCTGACCGCCAGGGCCTGCCCGGGCTCGCCTGCCTGAGTCTTCGGTCCCAGCCCGGGCCTGTCTCCAGCACCACCCTCCCTCGGTCCTCTCCTGGAGGGACGGGGTGTGAGGCCAGAGGGCCCCAGCCTGGCACGTGCTCACCAAGCCTGGCGCCTTCCCTCCCGGGCCCAATACAGGCTGGAGGAGGAGGAGGAGAAAACCACCAGGGAAGTCAAGGTGCCCAGACCCTGCTTCCCCACTCGCTCACACCGTGCACTCTGTGAGGGACCCGCCTACCAGAATCCTGAGGGGGAAACCGAGGCACAGGAAATGTGTGTGGGGGTGACACCCAGCAGCACCTTTCTCTCCCATCACCCCAGCTTTGTCTGGAGCCCACCTCTCCACCCAGCCCCCTCCCACACACAGGGCACAAACGGGCCCTGTCTCGCACAATCCTGCCCAGCCTCCACGGACCCTTTTCTCCCGAAGCCCCTTTCTTTCCCTTCTCTCAAGTCTGGCGCTTGGCCAACCTGGCATTCCCAGTGCTAACTTGCTGCTTTCATTTGCTAATTATTCCAAATATTTCAGGAGAAGCGCGCACACTGCAGGGCCAGCCAGCGAGGTTGGGGCCTTACTGAGCCCAAAGCCAGGCCACCCCCGCCCCACAGCAGGCTGAGGAGGTTTGCCCTCCGCTGAGACTCTCTTCGCTCCCCAAGCAACTCCTCCCTCCCTCTCCCCACCACCCACCAGCTTTCTCTCCACAGTCCCCAGTAGAGGCCTTCTCCAGGGGCTCCCCAGGGTCAGCCTCCAGCCCTGGCCAAAGGGGGTACACCCTGGATTGACAGGTGGGGTGGGGCCCGGGCATGAGCATTTTTAAGGGTCCCCAGATGCTTCCGACGTGTAGCGAAAGCGGGGAGGCGGCTCTGAAGGGGCTGGGCCCCGGGGCTTCACACACACACACACACACACACACACACACACGCTCTTCAGCCCGCAGCATCAGGGAGTGGGGAGACAGCATGCACCTGCAGCTTATCCCTCCGATCCATCCCTGCCCTGGCCCTTGGCTGGGTGGTTTTTTAAACAAAGGTGTTCATTTATCTCATATTTATTTATTTATAAATTCAGTGTAATCCCAATCTAAATAGATTTCACACCATCTTCCAGTAAGTTGCAGACCTGACGCCTGTTAGCACTAAATACTTTAGCGCCTATTTCCGTAGAACAAGGACACTCCCCCGTAAGCCTAGCACCACCGCGGAGCGGGGACACTGACGCAGATGCGCGTGATCCCTCTAACCGCAGATCCCTGTTCAGATTTTGCAGACTGCCGCACCCCCAGCCTCCCACGTTGTACTCAGTGGTCCGTTCTCTTTGTGGCTTTGCACCCGGGACCCAAGCTCTCCAAGCAGGCTCCTCGCGTCCTCTGATCCCCACCTTTGAGGTGAGAAGCCCCCGAAACCACTTCATGCTTGAGTGTGGGGACAGCGCCTTCCCAAAGAGCCAGCCTTCTGTCTTCTGACATGCCACCTTTTCCGCCCTCCTCCCCTAAGGTATCCCCCAGCAGGGACTGTGATGGGGGATGGGCAGGAGCTCAGACCTTGGGAGCCCTCCACTCCCTGCCTCCGCACAACCTGTCCCACAGGACAGGCCACACACACACACACACACACACACACACACACACACACACTCCAGTGACTCTCAGTGTCTGGAGAACCCTGGGATTCCCCGAGCCCCACTCCCTGCCGCTGACCTGAAGCAAACAGGCCAGACCCCCTGCAGAGCTGAGGGCGGGGCTGGCTCTCCACCCCACCCCCACCCCAGCACCCACACTTGCAGAAAGGGGGTGAGCTCTGGAGGGCTGGCAGGAAGGAAGATGAGGGTTGGGGGAGAGGTGGGCAGGAGTCAGGTGCACTTCCATCCAGGGCTGAGGCCCAAAGGTAAACAGGTGTATTTGGACTCCTGGCAGGGGGCAGTGGGCTGGCCACATGGGGCAGGCCTGGGCCTGTCGGGGGTGGTGATGTGGCAGGGAGGGCTGCGTTAACAATGGGGTGGCCGAGTGGCCCCAGGTCCTGCTGACACAGTCTTGTGTGATGAGGAGGAAAACACAGGTAACAACGGAGCGGAGGACCCTGGGGTAAGGCAGAGGACACTGTGAGGCCACTCATGCTGCGGGCGCCCGAACATTTGTATGGCAGCCCTGGGGGAGGAGTCACCTTCCTCCTGAGGCCCAGGTGTCTGTCTCAGTCTGTGGCTCCCAAGTCAGGTCGGACACCATAGGGTCAGAGCCACCATAGAGGTGCTGGGGCCTGGACTTGCCCTGTGTGTCAGGAGCAGGCAGGGACCAGCTGGAGGGCACTGCCCCCCAGAAGCCAACCAGCCCGAGTGGCAGGGCGGGGTGAGGCAGGTGCACATTAACCAGGGGGAGCGACAGGGCCTGAGGTCTCACTGCTGCCCCCACCTCCTCCCCCGACTCCTAGCCCAGCCCATCACCCTGCCTGAGGCTGTTGTGAGTCCAGACCCTCTTTCCCTTTGAAGGAAGCTGAGCTCCCCCAAAAGCAAGAGCTCCAGGAAGTAGGGAGGGCAGGCTTCATGCCTACACTCTCACCCCACCCAGGCCCCCTGGGGGCCTCTGAAGGACTGCCCAGGCCCTCCCAGCCGCTGTTTGCCCAGGGAATGGAGCTGAGGCCCAGAGGCTGCCCAGTCTTCTCTGCTCCTGGCCCAGCCACCACCGCTCTGTCAGCTGCCCTGTTCCCACCCAGGCCACCCTGCCCCCCTTCATGCCTCACTCTGGGCACTGAGCCCCTGTCTTCACCCCAGAGGGCATCCCGGTTCCCTTGAACTTGCTTACGGTGAGCTCTTGCCCAGCGATGCGGGGGCCGGCAGGGTGGGACGGAGTAGCACCCAGGCCCTGCCTCAGGGTGCTCACAGCCTCCTCACAGAGCTCCTGGCCTCCATTAGACCCCGAGTCGCCGGCTCCAGGGGCATCAAGCTCGGCGGCCCCAGGGCCCCATCCTGGTGCCCAGAGTTCAGCCTCTGACACCCTCAAGTCTAGACCCCTGGGGGCAGATAAACTGCGTGTCTTGCTCATCCCTACATTCACAGGATCAAAGGGAGTGGCCCGCTTTTTTTTTTTTTAAAGATTTTATTTATTTATTTGAGAGAGAGA